TGCACAACTACCCCATCTCAAAGCTACTGATCGTCAGTTCCAGTTGGACCTAGCGCCGCCAACGTCTACTCCAGCAAAGTGTTACATTGTAGCTTCTTGGTAGAAGATACAGATGCTCTGTTCCATAGTTTATAGATTCGAATCCAGGCCAAGGGGCTTTCATGTTTGGTAAGTTGTATTTAATAACGTCCGAATGATGATTACACTGAGAGTGTCCAGCCCCAATTGGAAAGTGATGGGGACCGGGCGGTAAGGCTCTGAACTTCTGTTCCTGCGACCCGGGTTCGATCCCAGCTGCTGCTTTTATTTTCGACCCTTCAGGTAAATCTTATAGATAAATATATGAAAAAGTGTTTCTCTATTGGGGACCCAAAGTGGCGCAGCGATAGAAGTGTCGCCTCCCGAACCGCAGGCCGCGGGTTCGAGTCCCGCCTAGGACAGAAACCCGTGACAGGTCGGTGTACCGTGGTGGTCGTCTAGGTTAACTAGATAAAATAAAATAAAATAAAATAGAATTTTACTCTTTTTTACCGGCGTAAATACAAATAAAAAAGGAGTAAAAGGCCCTCCTTTCCCATTGCGAGATTCGAACCCACGACATCACGCACGAGCGTCAGAGTGCCTATCCACTAGGCCAACACGCTCTTCCTACTTAGAAACCTGCAGAAGTAATATATAAATATTCGTATAAAATATTACGAAACGATCAGCAGAAAGTGTCACGTAGTAAAGTCAGCGCGCATGCGTCTTTTGATGGCTGGGCTCTATGGGTACAGTCAACTAATTCAAGCCCCATTGAAAACAGTGTAAAATCAGAACTGTTCAGGGCCATCCAACATGCATACCAAAATCCCTGAGATTTCAGAAACACAAATGAAACTATTGTCTAGTCCCTAATCTTTCAATTTCTTTTCAATTTTTTGTGGTTAACCAATTACATTTTTAATTACTCCCACAAAACAAAATCACCACCCGAAAAGTGATTTTTCCGAAGTCCGATTGCAGCCATTTTTCAAGTGGCAACCCTCNTTCATCCTGGCAGCGATTTACACAGTCTCACCATTTTGGGGGCCAAACAATCTCCTTTTTCAAAAGATACTTTGGGGGCACTTTTATTGATCATGAGCTGGCCAGAGTACGTATAAATAGAGTACGTAGTTGCTCTCTTGATGTAAAGATTCAGTTTTGTTGGTGATTAGACGGAAGTTAATTGTAGCCAAATTTTAAAAAAATGTAAGACTAACCCCTTGCAGTTTTTATTTTGAGGATATTTTTAAAAATACTATTTTTCAGTGCAAGGCATCCAGAGTATAAAAACCTGTTGCATGAAAATGCATTTCGGGGGTGACTAGGCGAAAGTTACAAATAAAATAAAAGTACAAGTCGAACCCCTTGAGATAATTTTTAATGCTATATCTTCACTGCAACGCATCTGAAGAATAATGACATGTTAGAATCGGATTAAAATGCATTTGAGGTGCTTGAAAAAAAATTACTTTTTGACCGAATGTTAATTTGCAAAGTGCAAGGGTATAACCAGACTAGCAGGTTTTTAAATTTGTGGAATTAAAAAAAAAGTTATGTATTCAGTTTAACGCATGGATCCAAAGGATAAGAACATATTAGAATCAGACTCTCACTGCACTTGAAGGTGATTTACCTAAACTTAATTTTTTGCCAAATGTTAAAATGCAAGGCTAACCCCTTGCATTTTTGTAATCTTAAAGGAAATATTTAAAATGCTAACTTCTCAGTTTGACGCATCAAATTATTAGAGCATAATTATTAGAATAAAAAATGTGTTTAGGTGATTGGACAAAAGCCATTTTTGACCAAATCTTGATAAGCATACAAGGCATACAAGCCCGTTGCACTTTTCTGTTAGAAGCTCTAATAAAAATGGTATTTCTCCAATATAATGCATCCAAAGTATAAAAACGTATTAGACTCGGATTGAAACAAAATTTTAGAGCGAATGGACAAAAGGCATTCTTACCACATTTCAGGTCTCACTAATCCCTTGCAGTGTTTAAAAATCTAGGAAAATTTTTGAATTTGCTATTTCTTCGATACATCGCAGCCCAAATTACCAAAATGTGTTAGAATCGTATTTAAATGCATTTTTGGATTGATTGAACAAAAGTTGTTTTTTTCCAAATTTTAAAGTGCCAGGCTTACCCCTAGCAGAATGTTTTAATTTGGGGAAAAGTTATTAAAATGGTATTTTTTTCAGTGTACTGCATCCAAAGTGCATAAGAATCTAATGGAAACGCATTATCGAGGTTGACGAAAATAAATTTTTTACCAAATTTTTAATTTAAAAATTCAAGGCTAACTTCTTGTGCGCTTTTAAGTTTTAAGTTTCCTATAATTATGAAACAGTCCTCTGAATATTAAAGACATTGTGGATGTACATCGAATGAGCCACAAATTGATATTTGTCATGAAATTTATAATGTCCCCTGCTAAAATCAGAGCTGCACTTTTCAAGCACAGATACCACTTCAAATACGACGGCAGTTCAGGACTGTCAACAATGCAGATAGGTTTCGTTCCAGTCCTCGATAGAGGAATCAAAGTAGAGGACTAGTATCCGGTGTAATTATGAACAAGTACATGTAACTTTTAACTGACAATTTTCGGTCTTACATCATGAAAACGTGTGGGCTCACGCAAGGTCAAATCAGCAATGCATGCCACAGTCAACGATGGAAAACATCCTCAGATAGGACAGCTGTTTTACACAGGATAAATAACTGGAACTGGTTCGCCTTTAGCTGCTCGGCCAATGGACAACCAAATGGACATCAGAATCGTCTAGCATCCAGTGAAGCTTTAGGAATGCATGTACCGTTAAACATGATTGTACGTACACTACGTGTACTACATGTACATGTAGATGGAAACGCATGTTATATGTATGCCTCAACGGACAGATGAACACACGCTTGGGTGCACATAAAAGTGCATCAAGAGCTTTTCCCCAACAATGGGACAGTGACTTGTTTCCAGTAGGACGCCCTGTATTGATACACATGCATGCGTTTCAAAAGCCCTATTAATTGTGTCAAAACACCTGCTATTTATTATTTAAATGCCAAAAACGTCTCCAACAGACCTACAATGACGTCACGCGTTGTTTGCATACGTGTGCGTTTTGTTTGGGTAGTAAGGTAAGGCACGATCCCTCGTGTACTCCAGGAAAATGCACAACAACGTGTTGTGTCATTGTCTGATGCTTAAGGACTGGGAGCCTCATCAAAACGATTGCCCACGTAATTCTTGCGTTAGAGAGCTAATGAAAAGATATACCAATTGAATTGTCAAAAGGTGTTCAACTATTCTTGGACACGTGGAAAATTGATTGGTGACTACGTGAACATCGAGAAATATTATTGCCTTGGTACAGGGCACGTTTAAACGGTTTAATTTAATGTAATTTGAAAGGGATCCACTCTGTAACGAATATACAAATACACCCCCTTCATGTCCTCCGATGAACATGAAGATGTTCAAACATGAGAGTTGACATTAAGATATTTACTTAAAAGTGTAGTAGGCCATCTTGACCTTTCTTCGCTTTGTGAAAGTTCCCAGTATTTTCAATTAACACGCCTCCCGTCAATCCTCCAAAATGTCCGAAAAAACTAACTCACGTAAACGTTTTCCTCAGTTTAAAGGCTTTTTAAAAATTTATTTCATCGGTATATCCGTCTCTATCATTGTTGATGGTGTAATTACAAGCTTCGAAAATTATGCAAACATTGATCAAGATTTAATAGTTTGTCTGAAATGAACAAGTTCAGTAGGCAACCAATGCCATGGTAACTAATGGAATTACTCTACTGACCACAAAGCGAGACAAATTTATATTTGAATCTGGTCCGAATCACTGGCTTCTTAATAAAGAAGGTTGTTTTTAAAAGTCTGTTGCAGTTAATAACACAAAGTAAATCAACTGTTTGTCACAAAACATCACCTTGTTGCTAGATGGGTTATACCCTCAAAACGACAACTTTCGGATAAATGTGTGTGAGTTAAAAGTATTTTTCTGTTAATCCTCAAAATTATGCTACTCTCTCCCTTGAATGAACAACTAACGTCTCAATTACCACTCTGCCTGTCTCTGTAACACATATCACCATGAAAGTGAGCCCAGCTGCTCAGGAACGCCAATCTAAATAATAAGCTATTCTGCCCGTCATTAACATTATCGGTTTGACTATGTCTTTATCAAGATACGCTCTAATCTGAAGCTTCCATGAACTGCGTTTAGGGTTGAACAGAAGCCAAGAAAAGAGCAAAACAATAGTTCACAGTTTTCACATTTACTTGATATACATGTAGTTGTAGTTTCCTGATCTTAATTTTCCACTGATTTGAAAGCAACGTATTTCCCGAGACACACCGATGGATTTTTCCTCCGTCCGAATTTATTTTACCGATGGGGGAAGTGCATGGTTATTCATATCCTCCACTAAGTGACTTTTTTCAACATTTACCCAACATTTTAGTTCAAGGAAGAAGAATGCACGTGTTCGCTTTCTTATGATTGATGAAGACAATGAATACTTCATTAGCATCGATTTCAAGTTGATGCTGGGGAATCAGGAAAAAAGAAAGAAAGCAAATAGTTTTGAAACAAAATATTTATGAAAATACGCAGCAGTTTGGTCATTTGTCCTTTGTTGCCCCGCTCCCCAATAAATACCGAAATGACAGACACAATATCACTATTCATAATATTGTTCAGACGCACGGGGAACATGGCCCATGCAAAGACTGTTTGTTTGTTGGGGTGTTGGGGTGTTTGTTTGTTTTTTGTTTGTTTGTTGGGTTGTTTGGGGGGGTTGTTTGTTGGGGTGTTGGGGTGCATGTTTGTTGGGTTTTGGGGGGATTTTGTTTGTTTGTTTGTTGGGGTGTTGGGGTTGTTTGTTTGTATATTGGGTTGTTTGTTGTTGGGGTGTTTGTTGGGTTGTTTGTTTGTTTGTTTGTTTGTTTGTTTGTTTGTGTGTTTGTTTGTTTGTTTGTTTGTTTGTTTGTTTAATTCATCCCTACAGTTGCTGTTTTTGTGAATGAGTTTGAGAGGTTTAAATTTAAAGGTGCGAACGAATTATAGACCAAAGAATTATAAACCAAATGTGTAATGGCAAAATCCATCAGGACTATTCAATCCATATGACAATATTCATCCATTTTAAGCGTACAGCCGTCACAATATATGGCAATCGCTTCCACTTTCAAATCCTTGTATCTTTTATCCATGCAGCCTTCTCTCAAATTATTTCAAGGAACACAACCGATCGCCACAAGTTCTCTCCTGACTAATTGGTTAGTTCTTTCTTGCCTTTCTCACTCCCTCAACCAAACTTTACAATGTGATGTATTATTTTGGAGGCAAGAGCATTTTCATTTTACCTCAATAAGTAGATTACACACCATCGACTGCAGAAGATCATTTCACACTATACGAAATAAAGGTTTTTTTATGGCCAAAGTAGCGACCTTTCAGGCGTAGCGTTACCCATCCTCCAACATTCTAAATTGAAATTCGTACTGCATGCATTTCGTCGTTTCGTTCATTCATCACTTTCTCCCCAACCCCCTCTTCCAAATTCCTTTTCTTTTTAATCTTCACGCTGTCACTCATGTGTCATATTGTCATGACGTTCCACCACATTTCAACCAAAAGTAATATTCGAAATTCGTTTATTTCGAGAGACAGTTTTTGAAGGCCGATTACTGTTTGAATGTTACAAAGGATATGCGAAAGGAAAACACAATTATTCCCCGTTTTCTTTTCATTAATATGCAAATTTCATAAAGTAATAGTTTAGAACATCTTCACCAGAAACATGATTTTAGTTTAACATTTTGCCTGAATTTAGAAATTCGAGTCCGCTTCACAATATTCAATTGAACCTCAGAATTCCCAGCTCTGAAATCCTTTAACTTCGATAAGATGCAAAGATGAGATAAACGAAATCTTAAGTATTATGAGAATGACAGGTCGTGCAGTGATATAGATATCATCCATTCAAAATTGAACGTCTTAAGGAGACAGAGTCTCAAAGGAACGAGAAAATGATCAGGTTAATGGAAGGTAACGAGATATGGGATGCGAGCTTAAATCTCACAAGATTGATCGGGCCTTTCTGGCGACGCTTGCTGAATGACACAAACAAGATGGAATTGTTTTCAAGACGGCTCCAATGTTTCAACGGCATTGATCAAGGATAAAGTAAAGTAAAAGTGGGGTCTATCGTTGTTTAAAATGATTAATGCTAAACTTGGGATTGGGATTTCAAGACAGCTTTTCCATCCCAGACACTACTCTCACGCCCCAAACGATTACTAATCCCTTTGGAAAATAAAATGCAAAGCCAAAACAGAGACACCCAGTACCGTTGTCAGGCACACAACTGAACACCTTAGGACACCTCTTCCAAGACGTCACCGCACTATTTCACCTTGTTTGTTAACTATAGTTTTTCAATCTGACTCGTCACACTTTATCTCTGCTCAAAGTACCGATCAGAATAGTCTAATCTATTTTTGCATTACTGACACGCGATTGCAAGTGTTGCTAGAATTCCCTTTCTCTGTTTTCTTGATAGCCACTCTGCAGCTGCTTCTATTTGGAGAGACTTAGCAGAAAACTAACGGTAGCGTGCATGTTGAGCATTATAACCGTATTTTATATTCAAGGCAAAACTCGTAAACAGTTCCCTCCTCCATCTGATTACGGCGATTGAGCGTATTGAAGATTTTTAGGAATGGGAAAAACGACAACTGTTTTAATGTCGGTAGTTATTGCAACCTAGCAACTGAAAAATCCCACTGTCAGCTTTATGGAAAAGGTATTAAAGAAAGTGTGTGGATTGGCACGTTAGGTGCATGTGTTGAGAACTCGGGGGGGGGGACAGACAAGGTACTCAATTCCCTTATAGCAACGGCACCTGCCCAAACACATTACAAAATAAACTGAGCCCCTCTTCCGCTCCATATCCTCTTCAAATTACGATTTAACATGAATTGGGCCAACTGTGTTGGCAGGTCGTGTTCACAGGAGAACTTTAGTTGTTTTCTCAGTTTGCTGCTCTGTTTAAGGCGATTTTCAAACTCTGTTGACACTGTTTTTAAAAGAAGGTAAAGCACTTTACGTTATGAACCCACGAAATGTTACCATGGACCCTCTACTCAAGGCCCGTAATGTTACAAACGTTTTACAGAAATGAGTAGCACCTAAATCCTCTTTGATTTTCAAGCATCAAAGTTAATAAAATTAAAAAGGCAGCTTCGGTTTGTTCGCAAACAAATTATTAAATATATGTCTGTGTCTGGAAACAATAAAAATAAATCAAAAATTTTAGTAAAACAATTCAGTTTTTGAAATTATTTGTACAACTGACACGCTTCCCGTCAATTTTTTATCTCTTTCAATAAAAACCCAACATAGTTTCTTTGCCATCTGTTATTTCTCCCCCTAACCTTTTCCCTGGCGCCTTGGTGTCCTGTTAACAGTAAATTGATTTTCTCCCTGAAATGTAATGTCTCAACCTTTACAAAAGTGTATTTTAAACTATTTTTACAACAGTATACTGTACTGTATTTCATGCAGATAGAAATAGCTGTTAGACTTTACGTCTTTACAAAGTTAATCCGGTACACAACGCCACAGAAGGATAGCATGCAAACGATGTAAACGACGAAACCAACTCAGAACAAATAGAAACAATAATTATTTTCCGGAATTTGAGCTCAAATTTACAGAAATATCCCAGTAATTCTCACACGACTTCATCAAAATATATAGTACTTGATTAAGTGGTATGCAATCGGCTTCTTATTTCAGATAATATACCATATTTCCACTGTTTACCGAAAGCATTAAATTAGACAAGTATATATCTTCTTGTTGATTTTATAATACAGTACACAGGCCATTGTGGTGTAAATGAATTTGAGAAATGTGTAAGCTATTATCTGTCATACCCTCTCGGATTACAGTTATGCATGCATTTATTTAACATCCACAAAGTAGTTTTCAAATACTTGTCACTACTACTTTTGCTAAACATCGAATCAGACACAAAGCTTCAATGTTATATCAAATTTGAAAGTCTAAACCATCATTTTATCCTTTGATCGCAAGTGATGTTTTTCGTTTTTCATTTCCAAATTCAAAGATACATCATCACTAAAAGTTTGATTTCCCTGAAATGTCTATATATAGCATGGATAGATCATTAATGATGTCCACGGGTACACGGACGAGGAATGTTCCTCCAACTTGTTTTCACAACACTTGACTCACAACTGACGCAAAAGGTATAATAGTATATTTGTTAACGATTTCACAATTATCAAACAGTGAACTAAATCTAATAACACCGACAGACGTGCACAGCACGAACACAGGAATTTTCTCCCGAGCCGAAATCAGCCAAACTCGTAAATACAACTATTACATGTACATGTATTAGTGCAGACACTAAGACATTCAAAGCGATAATTTGATAGATTTTCTCCTTCGGGAACAAAACGTAAAAATTATAGGCACTCGAGTGTAATTCCTGTTCTAACCTTCTTCAGAAGATTAGATTATTTCTCCCGATGGTACCTCTTCAGAACTGTCATGATATGCTGCATTCGTCTCGTGCTGCAATTACCTTCAATTGAAAAACGCATGCGTCCCCTAGCAGATAGCTGTCTATAAAACAATACTTCGACGTAGGAAATTTTATTAAATCAACTCAGTAACAGGTTGTCCTTGAAGATCTGACACGTTGAGGGTTTGCTGTCTGAGAGCGACTCAGTGCGATCGATAGAGTCCTTGAACATACCAACTGTAATGACACAAACGTGACCAAGGACTTCAGGTTGTTTTTCTTCGACTAGACCAGACGTGAGACGTGCCATGCAGTCCACGCCAAATACAAAGTCATCTTACTTACTAGCTACTAAAGTGATTTAACAGCGTATTTGGTATATTTTCAGAACTTGATTTGAACCTAGCACCGTACGTACAAGAACACACGCGATAAACAGTTACTTCTGTGTGCTATGCAGTGACTGTTCTTCCGTTTATGGGCGTTTTGTGAACACACATTTTCAAACATTTCTATTCGGACTGATTGTTTTGATTTCAGTAACACCCTTGGTATCTGCATCAGTTGCCCTGATTGTTCATTCAACACTAATTAGCAAAACAGTTTATGCTGTGAATGAGTTTTCCACAAGCCTTTATTTTACTTGCTGGTATTCGAATTATTGATAGCAAATAGTGTTCTTTCATCTATACTCCTTAAAGTATATGAACACATGGGTCTTCCGTTCAAAACTCCGTTTTTCCAAGCTGCAAGCCCATATAACGAGAATGTAACAAGACGTACTGTATATCAAGTACACTGGGATGTACCTCTGGTAATTATGCGGCGGATACAGTCAGTCAACTGCATGATCACAAGGTATGTGCAGTCTTCCAGCAATTAATTACACACTGCAGGCAATTGTAACCACCATACGAGCACAAATTACTCATTCCACAAACTCTGGCCAAAAAAGTGACCCGCGGCAATAAAAACCCGTACGCATCGCCCTTAAATAAGGTATTTCGTGGTAAACATCTCTTTCATGGTAAGCAGTAGGGCTAGTAAACAAAGTGCTTCCATGTTGAGACTAGTCTCCGCCCCCTCCCCCCTTTGGAATTCAAGAATAAAACAATGGAGCAGGAAACCATCTGTATTTCATCTCGTTCTAATAACTGCCTGCCTTCCTATTACGCAGTTGTTTTTAAATTTCACCCGGTGAACTGTACATCAGTAAAATTTAAACAACCCTTCTTTTTCTTGTATCTAACTCAGGATTGCATTTCGATACTGAATTTGCGTCGGGTAAACACTCACTTTATCTTCCATGTTATTTCACACTGTACATGCTCTTGTTTCCACTGAAGAGCCTCGTAGCGACCCGTCTACTGACCGCTTGTTGTAGATTGTGCTAGTGGGTGTGCCTGGTGACATCGGGTACATATTCATCCGCGTAGCTCGGACATGAGACAGCTTGCGGTTACGCTGACAGCAAAGATAGCGAGCGAAGTATCGTCGGTAAGTCTTGCTTAGAAAGCAGAGGGCGATTGGGTTAATGCAAGAATTTGCGTACACCATGAGAACGGAGACAATTTGAAGGATGAACATTCCAGTCGAACTGAAGACCTCCAGTGAGAAGCTAAAATTAAACCAGAGCCTGGAGACAAGAAGAAAAAATAGCGGGAAAAAGATGATACAGTTAGGTAAAAAGATTGCACATTTCTAGAACGAAGCAAATTTAAAGAAGTTTGCAGTCTTTTCTCGTTTCTTTCAGAATGCACAGATAATAAACAAAAAGATGAAAAAGAATAAAACTGATAAACAGTTATCTACGTACAAACAAAAACAAGCTATGGATGATAGCAAAAAAGGCACACATCGGTCTGCGCTGATTACTCTGTGTAAAATCTTGCTCACAAGCCGAAATATGAAAATGGAAAATGCACGAATTCTACGAAATAATATATTTCCAAGACCATGCACATTTCCAGTGATACCAAGCGGCCCACAGAAATAAAAATTCATCACAGCTGTTGAAGATACGAGTGAACTCTTTTTTATCCAGTTTGAGTCTTCTTCAGTCTTTCAGCTCATATTCCATATCAACTATTGCGTTCTATCCTTAACCTACCGCTCAAGCATATTAAAGATCTAAACCGACGTAAATCTAGCAATTACAATCCATTAATGCGGCAAATCAATTGTGGCAGATCGTGCACTCCATTTGACTTCTCTCAAAAGGTGAAAGAAATTGATCAAAAGATATTAAAATATTGGAGCATAAACTTAACAGAGCTGTAATGAGGCTTCTATGAAGTTTATTCTCTGGTGGAAGCCATAGATAGGGCTGACTAATACGAATGGCACTGAACCCCTGGGAAAACCATTGGATGAAATGTGAATAGCCAGTGCAATCAAGGCGGGACTCGGAAAATATTTGAAGGGGCCTACTTTTTATTCTGATCATGGGCCCTTGCTCTATGTTCCGATCAACTGTTGCCTAAAGGCGAAGACCATTTTTGCCGGTGCACCTCTCCTGAAGACAAGAAACGGACGATATAAAGAGTACTTCATTTGTAAAACAAACTGGTCATTTCTGAATGTACAACTTTTTGTGAGACAATTTTAAAGCACCGTCTCTATAAGATATCGTCGAGATGAAAAGTTGCCAACGCTTTGGACAACAATGCCGACGAATTTTAAACAAAACAGTGAGGTGACAGCAAATGATAAATTGTTATTGACTGGACTTTTATTACAGAATGTCCAAAAAGGGATCTTAAGTGTTCCTCTCGACTACACCGTGCCTGATGAACCGAGAAGAGTGAGACATTTATTTTCTCAAGGAGAACTGACAGGGTGCATCCAGGTTCCTAATCTAATTACCTTTCTCCCCATTCCCATTAGACCAGATCTCAAATTCTTAACTGACAGTGATAAAATAAGAGACGAGCATTAGACTTCAAAGCAATCGGCATCCGGGACGATGTTGGGGCTGTCTTTGCAAGCTCACCATGAAGTATGTCCTAAATATGAAAAAAAGGAAGACTTTGAAAAAGTGGCCTTCCATTGCCTGAAGCTCGTGAGGTATACGTGAGTTTAACAAGCTATGGTTATTGATTTTTGTCTTAGTGTTCATATTCAAGCTCTGCTCGGGTCCCTTGATGTTGCTATATCCCGACATGGTTGATGGTTCTCCTATAGCTGCACAGACTGACGATGAATATGGCCTTAGGTTTGCCTATCTACGTGGTCTAATTCTGCTTATTGCTGAGGATGACAAAAATGAAATTAGGATAAAAAGTGACGTGTTGAAGTATCACTGGAGCAGAACAGAAAAATGCAAAGAGACAGGCGCAAGTAGAAAGGCTTCTGGGAGATATTCACTCAGATAGATACTAACCAAGATAACATGCAACAGCCATAAAACGTGTCCTTATTCACGACAGAATTCCGTTATCTTGATCTATAACACCAAATTCTCGAGGCCGACACTACTTAAAGACTGAAATTGTTAGATATACAGATAGCCTGCAAGGGAGAATTGCCTACTGTCCTAAGCAACAGACTGTAACGTGACTTACAGAAAAAAATTACACATTTTATAAGATTTTTTAAATGCGAAGTGCAGACTCTTGTCCGCGACGTTAACCCCAGCCAATCACAAAAAATGGCACGACCTCAGTCAAGTCTAGCACGACACTGACGCCGTAGCTCAATAGTTAACGTCTTGCACAGGGTGCTACAAACACTTTTCAATTCAATTGCTTTAGACCTGGCGTATCACTTGAAGATTGATAGAATCCAAGAACACGACTGTCTTATCGTTATTGCATTAGATGGTGAAAGAGCAGCTAGTAGAATGCCACTGTTGCATCCCACAGCTTCCTCCAAAAACTGACTTCATACACACTAGGAAATGATACAGGTATTATGTGTTCTGCATGGATTTTTGTTCTGCCTGAAATTTCCTTCAGAAATCACTAGATGACGGATACGACTACTTAGAGCATAGATGTGTGTTATTCCAAGCCGCAGCCAGTTGATTAAGATACGGCTTTAATTAAACTCTACTTAAGCTTGATCCTTCCTGCAGGGACAATAAAGCACTGATTAGATAGGTATAAACAGAATATCCATTACCTCTCGCCATCCTGCAGGTGTATGCACATAAACCTTACTAACGGTTAATGGGGATTCTTTGAAGCGACCCGTAGGCTACATTTATTGGCAAATTTTCGACATTCTAGAATCGATACCAGGAGCTGAGCTGGGAAAGGGAGAAGGCTCACTTAGTCCCTAATCTTCATTTGTTGCACGCATGCTTGGTGAAATAGTCAAAGAAGAGACATCGTTCAATTTATCATCAAATGGTGCTGCATTGAGTGTCTGAGAGAGGTTACAGTACTTCCGGACTGCCTCCGCCAGAAGGGACACACTTGTATCACTAAGGCAACATGGTTAGAGCTGAGAACTAACAACCTTTGCACTTCAATGAAGACGCACTTTTCCGGAAAGAAAAGATGGAATGCTCTGACGAGGAATTAAGTGCAAAAAAATACTCTGCTTAATGGAACAACACCGTGGAACCAAAGGAAATTTCGCTTCAGTACAGTGGCTATAAATGGTTACAGTCATGTAACTTTGTATATTGGTTAAATCACTTCGCTGACAGTGACTGGAAATGTATGCACCGTTGAAGTTGCTACATTACTTGATCTGAAAGTCAACAAATTTAAACAATAGCGGCAAATATTTGAATACTGCCAGTGTATCATCTGATGGCACAAGCAAGGTATCATTACGGTTTGATAAATTGATCAAAGAAAGAACTCTATGTTGTTTTATTATACTCACAACTACTCTATTCAAATAATACTTTGTCATGTTAGCCCGAGTGACTAATTAGAGGGGAAATTCCGCCGCGGGAAGAAGAGAACAAAAATTAATTGGTATGTGAAGCCCCGATAGGATCATGGAAACCAACGGTGCAAAAGGGGTCAGGGATGTAGAAAAGTACATTGCCATCTTCACATCACATGCAGCCAAAGGCTTCTCATTCTTGAGCTGGAGCATTACATCTTGATGTAACGCCATCTCTTGATTGATGCCAATTCAATAATGGAGATGAAGGGATCATATCCCTGCCCATTTCCCCTTACCATTTTCTAAGCATGCACGTTTTCAGGACAGACTGATTATAAATTTACTAGTTCAATCCTCGCTCCCCATTCAATCATTCTGTCAACAATCGCAGATATCTCTCAAAATATTATTTCTGTCCACGTTCTGGAACATTCAGAAACTCCTATCTTCCTCCTGACTTCATGCAAGCTGAGCATTCAAGAGACTTTAAAAACAAGAAAGAAAGACATGCTTTTTTATTTTTTCAACAAAACCTTATCAATATCAGTAAAGAGCTTACCCAATTAATAAGCTGAGAGTGCGTTATGCATGGTTACCATGTCATGTGGTTTGTTGATTTACGCCTTGGAAAAGTTATAATTATGACAACAAGGCAAAACGTCACATATGAGTTTTGACCTGGACTATAAGGGGTGGCATCTTGGTAGCACACGAATGATTGAAGAGGCTTCATAAAAATGTCGGCAAGTACAAAAGAATACAAAGTCTCGTCAAAAGAAACACTTTGTCGAAACTGCATTAGCCATCATCTAGTTTCCTTTCGATGCAGGAATAGGACTTGAACAAAATAATCTGCGGACATGGAATATTAAATCCTCAAAATGAAATATAGTTGATTGATGTAAATTAAAGTTAGTCGATAAATCAACCATTAAGCACAGAGTCAAATGGTCATGTAAATCAGTGAGCAACCACACTTGCTCAAGATGAGTTATTCTGTTGATAACTATATCTTGACATTTGAATTTCCCAAATTTAAACTACTCGCGACAAACCCTGAAAACAACACTTCAACCGTTAAATACCGATTTAAACTTTGCAACGTATCATGTGCTATCCCCTGTTAGAATCAATTAACGTCAAGAGACTATTTCTATCTCCTATGCTACCTTCTTTTCAACCGAACGCAACGAACTGCAGTCAACTCCAAACGAAATAATCCGTCTGGCGTATGATGAAACTCTGTGCGTGATCAAGAGATTCGCTAGAATGATCCAGTAGTAGTAGCGACAAGCCTCCAAATATACATGTACATGAGAGCTGGCGGAAGAGTTCAAGTGGATGCGACCAAAAAAAGGTGAGTTACATCTCCATAATCCTCATACAAACCTTCTTAGCCCGACAAGAAAATGAAACGACGATGGCAAATGCACTTTAAACAACCACCATAGATGGTATTGGCAACAAACGATCGCTTTCAAAGGGGACTTTGCTTCCCTGTTTTACTTCATGAAGGAATTTCAAAATCACAGTTTGTTTTGTAAATTGATTGAGGAAACCCAGAATGTTTTGGAACATTATAAACTACGCATATCAGTATTTCTTCCAAGGTTTGTGTATGACCTGATGTAAGTATATTATGTTTTTCTACGAGCATGTTCGATCCATTAGAATAAATGACAGAAACAATAAATAATTTGCAAACAAATTGTAAAATTTTGAACGAGTCCTCAGTTCGACGTGAGGGCGACTTCGTCAAAATATTTTGATTTGCTCAAGCTGGGGTCTCGA